AGTCCTGAAAGAACGTACCCGACACGCTGAACGACGACCATGAACGTACGTCTCGTCCCGACCCGGACAGAAACCTCGGACTGATGACTCGTAGTGATTAGCCAGGAAGCCGAAGGCAGGACCACTAAAAGTGTCTATCGGGGGGCCTCCAGATGTCGCTGTCGACTCCGCAGTAGACGCCATGCTAACCTACTCCACCTGAAATATCTCCGAAGTACTCCACGGTCGGGAACCCAAGAGCAACGGAGTGTTCAGAAACGTCACGAAGTGTTCGGAAACACCGACGTGGAGGCGCCTCGATCCGACATGGCTGCATGATCGTGAGACGGTATGAGGAGAATGTCTATCCAATAGGGAGGAACGGACACCTCCTCCACCACTTCGAAGGAGTCCAGAATAACTCCTCTCATGCTGGTGGCAACTTCCCTATGGAAGAAACTGGACTTCACACTGTTTGGCTTCTGACATGAGGACCATTGTATGAGCCGACCTGAGCAGGTATATACAGGGTGATAGCAGTTCCGCTACTTCCTACCGATCCACAGTAGCAATTCCATGCTGATCGACTCGGCGAGTGAGGCCATAGACAGCTGGACGACGACACGGAGCTGACCAGCTATCTCTATTGAGGATCGTTGCTGATCATCCTCACTGCCAACAATGGAGAGCCTATCGATTCCCATTGTGAGCACGCTGGCTACTGCATCCTGCTCCTCTTGACTCAGCCCGCACGTGTGCCAAACGGAGGCCATGCCATATACCAGGTTGCTCAGACCTTGCACGCCTAGTCCCCGCAGTATCCTTTCGTTGACCTGTCGACACACCCTAGCCGCCTCCACTGCCATATCCAGCTTGGCTAAGCCATAGAGGAGCATGCACGTTGTCTGGGCGTCCTTCAACTTCACCACGTCGAGCCTGTTGAGAATCTCTCTTTCTATCCATGCCTTCTCACTCATGTTCTGTCCAGCCAAACCATGGAACACCGCAACCGCAGAAGTGAGATCCAGGCCGATGGAATCTTTGAGAATACGAGTGAGATATCTTGCCAGCCGATCCCCCTAGTTTTGTAAAGCGGCACTCAGCTGTACTATGGCACTTTGAGGGAGCTCGCATCGAGATCTGCACAGAGC